AAAAACTGGCCCAAATTTTTATAACTATATATAATTATTGTATTATATAAATGGTATTAATTTCCATAAAATTGTGGCTAATAGTTTTGACTGATAAATTTTAAGAAAAAAATAGTTTTTTTTTTTAACCTTTCATAACATCATACAATTTAATCAATGTATTACTTCAATTATTTCAAATAAGATATTGAAAATCTTTAGATAATATTAACGAAAATGTTAAAATCCAATTTTTAAAAAACTGGCCCAAATTTTTTGCGCAATATTATAATACTATTTGGAAAACATGTAGTAAATTGATATGGACAATTTATATTTGGATTTGACTGCTGAATTTTTAGAAAAATGTATTTTTTTTATTAATAATGTGTTTACTTTATTTTAAACAACGTTAAATCAAAAAAGTCTCTTTCAGTCAAATAGTTATCAGATAACTAGCATAAAAATCAAAGATTATTGACTTTACTCTTGTTTATTCAGTATTTCAAATTAATATGTAAAATTTTGTAATATTTTTAAAAATCCTATTTTTTATATAATTAAACATAAATTTATTATTTTAAAACTAATAATTTTCTTTAATATCATTTTTTTTTTAAGATATTAAAATCAAAATCTCTTTAATTCAATTTTAAATATTATCAACTCAATTCAATTTATAAAATCATTATATCTCAAAAAATAATAAACAAATTAAAAATGTTTAAGATTTTATAAAAAATTTATAGTTTATATAATATTTACAATCATAATAAAAATATCATAATGCTATATATAAGTTTTTTTATCGGGACGGTTTAGTTGACCTACTCTTATATTATTATTATAATAAAAAGATTTCTAAAAAATTACCGTTTGAAGAATAAAATGAATAAATTTCAGTCAGTTTTAATATCTGATTATTAGGATTTTAATCTGCAGCCATTTATAATCAAAAATAACCAAAGGGAGGCCAACGAAAGCTTTCACATCTAACTCAAAGTACAGTTATATTGGAAATTATATATTCTAATATTAATATATATATTAAATTTAATTATTAATGCATCTCATGATTACTTTTATTTTATTTTAAATAATTAGATATTTTTATTTTTTAAAAATTGAATTAATTTGAATGAAATATAAAAATAATATTTTTCTTATTTCTCAATAATCTTCAAATATTATAAATTTAAAATCAAAAAATATTTTTATATATTCATTCATAAAATAAACAATTATATTAAGAATAAAAATCATTGGATTATTTTTATTAACATAGTAAATCATCTTAAATTAAATAACTTTTTTACGGAATAAGATCTGAATGTTTATAATAAAACAATTTTTTGTATTTTGAAAAGCAAAAAACAAATAAATAAAAATTTTCTTAATTGGTTGAAATAATCATAAGACGGGAAAAATCAAATATGTTTAAAGCATTAATGGAGTATAATTGATATATATAATCAATTATTGTAATTTGTTTGCGATTTTAATTTAAATGTAAAGCTATATAAATCGCATTATGATAACAGTCAAACGAATCATGATTTTGATTTTTAATTATAAATATACTATAAGTATATAATATTTCACCTCTAATTATGGAATGAAATATTTTAATTTGATGGAACTAATGATATGAATCTCTCCATAATGTAATTATTTCAACGTTACTTTTAGAAATCAATATATTTAAATCATGTATGTTGCATATATAGAATTTATTTACAAAATAAATCTTTTTTTGAAAGAATCAAGGCCTTTTTTGTTTTATAGATCGGCTTTTTTTTGCCATTATTGAAATAAAATACATATTTCTCAATAATTTGAGTTAGGATTTAAATATTAATTATTTTATTAGTTTTATTTTTATTAAAATAATATAAATAAAGAATTAATTTATAAAAGGATGTGCCAATTTTTAGATATTTTTTTTTTAAATGCTCTTACAAAATTTTTTGTATCAAAGGTATCTCAACGAAAAACAAAATTATTTAAAAAATGATTGCTTAAATATTGCATATTTATATACCAAGTAATTGAAACTCATATTTAATTCAGGATATATCTCTTTTTAGCAGATCGGATATTATGGATATTGATGCATTGACCAAAATAAAACAAAATATTATTAACAATATTTAATTCAAATATTAAATAAATAGTTGTTATTTGTAAATGTACTTATTTTAATGAGATAAATGGAAAATAATAGAAAATTTTAAATTCATTCAATTTCGTTGGCCTCCCTTTAAATAACCTGTAACAATTCAAAAGACATGATATTTTCTTTCAAAAAGATCAAATGCCAAGAAGTTGTTAATGACTATTTAAAGTCTATTTGTTTTTTTTTTTCTAAGGTTTTTGTTTCAATTTATTTGTTGACTTGTAAAATTTTATTAATTCAATTTCAAAGTATTAACAAAAATTGAATGGTTTTAAAAAAATTTCCAACCATTTATCACTTCAAAAATAACTTTTGAAATAGATGGAAAAAAATTAAGTGATTTCAATAAGGCCTTATTAAGGTATTCATTCAATTTTGTAGTATTCAAAAAGTGACAACGAAAATACATATTTTGCGAAATATATCATTATAAATTTTAATTTTTTTTATTAAATATTCATAAAATTAATAATATCATTATATAATATATTTAAATTATTGTATATCTTGCTAAAAGTAGAGATAATTTCATAAATAATCACTCAGCTAATCTTTTCAACCTGAGTTAAAATTTGAAAAATTGGCCATATTTTTTGATTTTAAAAAGATTTATTTTAAAAAATCAAAAATTCCGACGCTGGGGACTTTATTTTGGATAGATTTTTTCTTTGAATACTTTACATATTTTTACTTTTCAGAAATCTTTATTTTCTCACAATTTTACAATTGTTTATATCTTACAATCTCACAATTATTTCTTAAAAAAATGCTCAATATTCTGAAGCATATAATAATTTCATAGAATTGATCTCAATTTTCTGATGATTCAAATATTTCATAAAAAATAAATTCAATTTAATAAATTAACTAAAAAATATATCTTATATTTTAAATTGGATTTTCCTCATATTTGCTATAATATTTATACAAAACATCATTTTTTTTCTAAACTTATCAAATTGTAAAATTTTCATTCAAAAAGAAAAATTAGTTTATTTTTATATCATACGTCAATTTTACCATTATATTTAGTAAATAAATTTTTTATCATCATATATTTTATTATATTATAATATGATAAAATATACTGCTTTTGTTCAACCTTAATATGGTCTTTTCAATATTTTTAGAAAAAAAAATGGACAAAAACGAGGTTTCAATTTTATTGATAGGTGATACTGGGGCAGGTAAAAGTTCATTTGGTAACTATTACCTTAGAGAGGATGTTTTTGAGGCAGATGATTCTGAAAAACCTGTTACTAAAGACGTTGTGATTAAATCGAGAACCATTGATGGATGTACGAGGTGGGTAATTGATACTGAAGGATTAAATGATGGACAATCAATTAGTTCTATACAGATTCAAAATTTAGCAAAAATTTTGAAAGCCTATGAGCGTGGTATAAATGCTATAGCAATTATTATTAATGGTCAAAATGATAGATTTTCGCAAGGAGTAAAAGACATTGTAAAGTTTGCATATTATGCATTTGGTACCAAAGAAACTTTGAAACATATATGCGTTGTTTTTACTAAATGCTACACAAAAACAAATCCTAAAAGAGATAGAAAACAAAAAAATTATATGAATGCTGTAAAAAATTATTTAAGTGAAATATCAGGAACTCCATTGGAAGATGTCCCAGAAATTCCTGTTTTTTTTGTTGATTGTTATCCAGAGGGAGAGAATTCTGATAGTTTAGCAAACTTAAATTTGTTTCATGGTTTTGCGGTTAATCGTAGCCCTATTGAAACAAAGCAATTCAAAGAAGCAAGCTATCGTGAAGATCATGAGGAAGAAGTTAGGACAGGAGTTTCAAAAGGATTTGAAGAAAGAGGTGATACAACATATGAATTATTTGAAGATCTAAAACGAATAAAAATTATTCCAAATAATAAAGACCCAGTTCGTTATACTGATTGGGAATGTATCAAAAGTTATGAAAAAGCAATCAAGAAAAAGATTATTCAACAAAAATTTGATGTTGATCAAGGATACATTTATAGCACAAATCCACCTAAACGATATAAAGTTACAGCAAACCAAGAAAAAATTATTATTCGAGATCTTCAAACAGGATACGACATTGAAGAAACTCCTTGGTATAATATATCAGAACAACGAACTGAAGCAGGCGAGCAAACAGAAAGAATACAAAAGAGAATAAAGAAAATTGAGAAAAAAGAAGTTTGTCATCATTCAGCTCATTCATTGTTTGGAAAAAGTAGTGAAGATCACACTCATTTTACAATATATCACATTACTTACGAAGAGCAAAGAGTGGAAAAAACTGATTATGATGGGAATAAGACATATTCTAATTGGCTTATGGTTCCTGGAACTGAAAAAAAAGAAGAAGTTGGTGGTGGAATGGAAAGAGGTTTTAGAGAACCAGAAGAAAAAGATATTACTGATCCTAGAAATGAAATAATTTACATTTAATATAAATGAGAAATTTTAACTATTTCTTTTTGATATTGCATTTAATTTTTTATAATTCACCACTTTTTGAATTAAATCGTAAAAATAACGATCATATATTCACCATTTTATGTAAAGATAAGGTCAATAAAAATAAAACTTTTTGGCCAAATCTAGAGCAATTTGTCCCTTTTATCTTTTTTCGAAATATTTAACAATGGCTGCTTTTGAGTATTTGAACTTTTCTTTTACAAATAACAGTCTAATTTAATTTTTTGAAATTGAAAAATGAAGCATTTATTGTCTTTTAAGACCAGAAATGTCCTTTACTTTAAAAATATCTGGTAATCAAACATAAAATGATTGGATTTCATTTCTTTATCAAATCCAAAAAAAAAAAAAAAAAAAAAAAAAAGCAAAAAATTCTCCTGGGAAGATTCGAACTTCCTTCTCGGGCTTATCAGACCCACATTCTAACCTGTATACCACAAGAGATTTCTGATGATACATATTTTATCAAAAATTTAATATAAAAAAGATATAACTTTATTTGATAATTTTGAAATTAACAAATCTAATTTCAAATAAAAGGAAATAAAAGCGATATCCAATTTCAAATAAAGTAATATTAAATCAATACTGTGATACAAACAAAAAGTAATAAAATCCAGATATGGATTTTTATTTAATCTTTTTGTTATAAAAAAATTGAATATTAGAAGTTGTATAATATCATTAAGCATCTAATGATTATTTATAATTATTTTTAAATTTACAACTTTATTGCTGTTTCCATTGAAATTGAACTTTATTTTCAATAATTGAATTTAAAACTTTTTCAAAAGATTAGCTCTATTTTGGTAATAAAATTCACCTGCTCATTTAAAAATTATTCAATTAATTAAAATTTTTTTTTATTATTTTTTAATAATGCTACCTTTATTAATTGTTTCTGCGTCATGTGGATGTGATGTATTTGTCATTGCTCCACTTGATTTTGTTGCAATCCAAGTTTCCAATCCAAATTTGAAAACTGGTGTAACATGCTTCGTGATGCAAATGTGAAAGGTGTCATGCTTGATGCTTGTATGGTGGGGAATCACCGAACCATCACCAAAAAATTACAGATGGCAAGGATATGAAACACCATCACCGAGGCTTAAAAATCATTCCTGTTTTTTCATTCCACAAATGTGGAGGATCAGTCGGAGATTACGTAAACATTCCAATTCCAAACTTTGTATTGGAAGGCGGTACCAAACCGTATTTTGACGATGCAAGTCGTCATACAGAAAATGCATATATTTCATTTGCATATGACAATATCAAAATCGGTCAAAATAATGAAAGAACGCCGCTTGAAATGTACAGAGATTGGATGACAGCATTTAAAACACAGTTTTCTACTTTCATTAATGATGGATCAATCATTGAAATTGAAGTCGGTGTTGGACCATGCGGTGAATTTCGTTATCCATCATACATATCATATTACTGAGTTACATAGGTTGTGGGATGTTCCAATGTTATGATTCTCAATTTATTCAACAATTCCAACAAGATGCACAAAAGGCAGAACATGGAGAAATGGAATTCACCACCAACTGATGCAGACATGCACTACCAATTATTATAATACTATACAAAGAAAAATGAATAAAAAAAAATAATATTTATTAAATTAATCAAAATCTTTAAAACCATATCAACAATTTAAACTAATCATCATTTCTGATATTTCATTGAAATATCGCATAAATGAGAAAGTTTTTTGGACTTACAAAGTAAACATTAATTACATTATTATTTGATGATAACGAAAATGATTTATCTTGTGAATTTTTAGGAGCATATTTTTCTTTTTGATACTTCAAAAATAGAGAATAATAATTAATCAATTTGATAAACTATTTTATTTTATAGTAAGAAAGCAAAATGCACAATTCAATGAAATCTTGTCCATAAGTCTTAGATTGTTGTATTTTCTCAACGAAATAGAAACTTCCAGTGAAATTCAAATTTTTTTCTCTAAGAACTCTGCTGACAAGGATTGCAAATCGAGTGAAATCTTGTTGTTCAAACAAGTCAATCAAAGATGGCTCGATTTGACTCACAAACAAATCCAAAGGAAGGAAAGTCATTGCGTCACAAAAATCTCTAAATGACAATTTCAACAAATCAAAATTCCACCTTTCCAAGATGAATTTTTTAGCATCATCCAAATGCAACATTTCACAATAACGATACAATTTTAAGTAAGATTCATCACTTATTTTTTGCACAACTTTTTCATGCTGTATCATAAAATTAAAAAATTCTTTTCTTGAATATCTGAGACAATATTCAAGAGGCGTCTCACCATTTTTATCCTCGAGAAAAGGTTTAGAAAAACTTTCCCTTTTCAATAGCAAAATGAAGCAATGTTTTCTTTGACACACTGTTTCTTGCATTTATGCTCATTCCATAATTAAACAATATGAACAAAGCTAATAAATTGTTAGATTCAAGAATGCAATCAAAAATGGAATCATAATCCACATATTTAAGAAAACTTTTGCTTTCTTCAGAATCATTTTCATCATTTTCATCATCTTCATCTAATTCAATTTCATCATCAGCGTCGTATTGATAATAATCATCAAAGTCGTCATTATAAACATACGGATAAAGAGATACTTCTCTGTTATTCACTGAGCTCGCTTCGTACTTCATCGACTCGAAATCATCAATATCTGTCGGCCTGTAATTGTCGAGAATCCACGTCAAAACGTCATTCTGAAAATACTTGATTGAAATCGGAATTCCAACAAACAGATCAACTTTTTTTTGAGCAAGAAGACGGATGATTTCAAGACTGCCTCCACTTATTGCATATTCAAATAACGACGGGTCCATCTCAACTTTGTGAAGAAACATGAATTTGAAGATCTTTATTGAATTGAAAAAAGTGGCATATTGAACAAGTGTAACTTTTTGTGAGAGAATTGGACAACACTCAAAATTGGTGGGATTGATGTATTGTTCGTAATTGAAATCGTCACCACATTGTGAAACTATTTGGAAAATGTATCAATATCATCATTTTTAATGATTTGAGCTATTTCAATTGGATTATATCCACTGTTCATTATTGTAATTACCGAGTCGATATCATTTGTTTCGAACTCAATTGGAACTTGAAAATAACAATATTTTTGCGCATTTTGAATTATTTTAGAATATGAAGCCTTAATCTCTGGATAAAACCATTTGATGATTTAATTTGCTTTTGATTCAGGATGGAATGGAATGGACTTGATTTCTTTGATGATTGATTTAATTGTGATTGCTTCACGTAAAAAAAGAGTTCTTAAAAAGAAAAGTACAGATGATCGTAATTCGGAACGTGAATGGATGCATGATACTATACAATCTTTGAGTAGATGAAGTTGGTTGGATGGAGATTCTGATTTTTGAAGATATATAAAAAGGTCTGAGAGTATCTCAACGTTCATTGGATAAAAATCGGCAATTTCAATGAAACAATTTGCTAAAAGGGAAATACCTTCTTGAGTTTTAGATAACTCTTTCCTTTTTAATATATGATCACCTGTTTCTTTGATATTGTCTGATTTAAGGTTTATTAAACTTCTTTGGATGTCAATGATCAATTTCAATTGGCTATAAATTTTCTTATCAAATGATGTAGAGTCGAACATTTATAAAATGAAGCAATTGCAATTTTTGAGAGAAATTTTTTTTAAGACTCAAATTTTTGTCTCTCTCCTATCTGATCAAATATTTGAATTAATATAGTTTTGTATATATTATCTTTAAGAATATTTGTAACATATTTTATATTTAAAGATATACTTCCAAAGATAATTAAATATGTTAAATATTTGTAACATATTTTATATTTAAATATATTATCTTTAAGAATGTTTTTTTAATTAAGAATGTAATTGTAACATATTTCATTTTTTATATTTAAAGATATACTTCCAATAATATTTTTTGTTCGGTTTTTATTTTCATAGATCTCATAGAATCAATGGTAATATTACCATTCAAAAACAATTGTTATTTATAATATTTTTGTGAGAATTTTATTATTCAAAAAGCTTGAAAATTTGAAAAATTGTTTTAGAGACAAAAGCAGAACTTAATATAAAAGATGAAGATAAATTTGACTATATTGATATCAGCAATTTCAAAAAAAATAAATCAAATTGAGGATAGAATAAAAAGTATTTTTATAAAAGTACGATCCAAACCAAAAATAATTATTTTTTGTTAAACGATTCAAAGCAGCTGCTTATTTTACAAAAAAAGACATTTTAGACTTTGATCGTGAATTGGATATTATATCCGAAATCAGATATCCATCAATTGTGAAATTTATTGGAATAAGTCCAATCAACTTTAAAAGAAATAACAAGCCAATGATATTCATGAAATATGAATCAAATGGAACCTTGAAAAAAGTACTTGATTTTGAAAAATCATCGATGTCATTATATGGATGGGATGACACTAAAAAGCTAATTAATATATATGGAATTGCATCAGGAATGAAATATTTGCATTCATTAAACATTATTCATTGTGACTTGGATCCTTATAATATTTTTGAAGATGAACATTTCTTCCCGAAAATTTGTAATTTTGGACTTTCAAAAAGGATTCAATCAAATAGCGATAATAATAGTCCTATAGATAGAGTTTACGGAACTCAGATGTATGCTCCCCAAGAGGTTTTGGAAGAAAATTATTATTCGAAAGCAGGAGATGTTTATTCATTTGCAATGGCAATGTATGAAATTTTAACATGCGAGATCAGAAACAAATAAAATTGATTATTAAAAGCTCAAAGCAAGAATCAATTTGATGATCTTTTCTAGCCTCTCTTTAGCTAGAGAGTTCCCTTCGTATGAAGAGATAACCATTGATCAAAGCAACCAATTCAAAAATATTTCTATCCCTCATTTGACAAACATGATAAATAAACCAACAATTTCAATGTTAAATAATGCTATAGAAAAGACAAATAATAAATATTCGTTCAAAAATTTCATCTTTAATTTTAATAATTTCAATAAGAAAGAACTAATTTTGAAAGTTTATATAGTTACTGATAAAAATACAGGGAAAGAATATGCTGCTCATGTGTCAAATATTGACTTGAATCAATTCAGCAAAAAAGAAATGCAAGATATTTCAGAAGAAATGAATATCATTTCAGAAATAAATTATCCATCACTTGCAAAATTATTTGGTTTCAGTCCTGTGAATTTTGAAGGTGACCCAAACCCTACTTTTATCACAGAAATTTAAACTAATAGAACATTGAATGAAGTTGTTCAAAATGAGAAAAAGAATAAAATTCTTTCAGGTTGGAATTCAACCACCAAATTGATAATGATTTATGGCATCGCATGTGGAATGAAACATTTGCATTCACATGGCATTTTACATCGAAATTTACTACTAGCAAGAGTTTATCTTACTGAAAA